TGCGCCGTGCCAGAGCGCCTAGACATGAGAGGACGCCTTCCATTAATTCGATGCGCCCACCGCTCCGTCCTCACGTCCCCTCTCCAACCATCCCCATAACGCTTTGATTGCGGCTCAGTAGAGCCTCAATTTTGGAGCTTTGCTCCCGCCACCGCGCCATTAAGGCCCAGCCCGCCTCACCGTGGCCAGCTCCAATCTCGCCATCTCGCGTCGAATTAACCGTACCACTAGCCCCACCTAGAACCCCTCTTCGTCGTGCGCACCTAAGTTGAACCCTATAGTCACCTTCACGTCGCTGGCATGGTCGTGTCGCTGCGGTTCGTCGTTGAGCTTGCCGTGCGCACGCGGCCAGACTTGCTCGGGACGTCTTTGGCCAGGGCACCGCCATGGGTAGGACCGTGGTGCGTCACTAATGCTTACCCATCACTTCTATTATCTGTTACACGCTGTGACTCACCGGAACGTGGTTGCCGCCGCTGCAGGTCGCCCACCGCCGGGGAGAGCCCGCTCTGCTTCACCTCCGTTCGTGCAACCACCGCCCATCATCACGCGTCGGCCCATAGGTGAGCATCGGTCCCATAGCTAGGTATGCAAGGATCCCGGTTGGCCGGCGTAACGGGGCCGTACTGGTCCACGCCGCGCTGGCGAGCGCGGGGTCGCGAGGACCTCCTCGATGCGAAGATAGCTTCTCTCGAGGTCTTTCGTGCATAAGTGTTGACTGAGTAAATAGGACGAATAGTGGCTGCGAGAATAGTAGGAAGCTCGGGGTGTTTTCACTAAAATGCCAGCACGCGCGGGGGCTCCTCGTCGTGGACCGCATCCGCGCGTGGGCCGCGCCTCACGTGGACCACGTTGGGCCGGATTCGGTTATCTTTTTCGGGGAAAATAGAAATAGCTTTTCATTTTTATTTCTGAGCTGAACTTTGATAATTAATATAAAATGATATATATGTCCAAAAATTATGAAACTAATTTGGTTAGGTTCCTAAAATCACGATCTATCTGCTAGTATATTTTATTCACATAGTTTTATAATATTTTTAGGAGTTATCTAATTAATTTAAAATGCTTTATATTGTAAGATATAAACTTGTAGGAATTGTTGTGATAAATTGGTGATATTGTTGGCTCTGAAACTTTCACAGTTAATTCCTCACATTATTAGGTGCTCACTGTAATTGTTGTAGCTCCATAAAAATTAGTTTGCTAAGGTAGCTAAATGAGCCCTAGTTCAAAAATATATGTTTAATCAATAAAATACCAAAACACCTTGGAACTTTAGAACTAAAACATTTTTTCTAGAGACAAAGCATTACTTGGCGACGTGGATACGTAGCCTAGCACGTTAGTTATTAGAGCTATCTCGTTAGCTTGCGAGGCATAATCGTATTTCTAAGAGTTTCAGGTTTTCATTGATTATTTACGTCTTTGTGTTGCATCCACGTATATCATAATAGGAATAATGATGGATCATGGAATCGACTGAAGTAGCGGAAAAGATGATGCCTTGATGATCGTGTCACTATGATGGAATGTTAACTTTTGGTTATATCTTACCCAGGCAAGCCTTGGTGCATAACCCTTATTATTCTGCACTTTTATCTTATGCTTGTGCATTAAGTTTTAAGGAGTTAAATGAAAACCACTTGCATATATATATCCTTATCCTAAGAGTCCTACTAGTATGTCAGGATCATGTAGATTGCTATGCTATAGGATCAGATAGAAGTCGAGTGATTACCTGTCACTTCGCGAGAGATAGGAAATATATTATTGTTACTGTCACATAGAATATATATGAATGATAATTGGAGACCGGACGGAATGGTACTTTGGATCTGGACTTGGTTAGGCATTCGAGCGAGGCTCGGATTGCACTTGTTCCGTCTGTGTCGATTTAGGACCGTCTGTTGCTGTGGATGGTAGTCAGGTCACCGACTTATTATCCTGAGCACATACTTGCTTATGAGAGCGGGAAAGCTCGTTACGCTCTTATCATGGGTTTCAGCTCTTTTTGGACCGACTGATTGGAGACGGGGAAAGGTGGAGGTCTAAGCACCATACTAAGATCGAGTCTCAAGTGTAGGGGCTTAGAGTCCATGTTTGGACGGGGACCTGAACCCCGTGACAGGAGTGGAATGGGTTGTTTGTGCCTAGGGTATAAATGGGACGTGTGTTTTGGGGTACCCAGCTAGGATATATTAGTTCACGAATCGCCGTTTCTGTGAGACGGTACCGACTTGGCTATGGTCTAGCACCGTAGTAAGAACTAGAATATGAAAGATGGTAAAATGATTCTAATTGCTTACCACCTACTTGAAAGTAGCATAGGTGTTTACATAGAATTGTTAGTTAATGAACTAATGATAACTTCTAATAAAGTTAATTATAAAGACGCACGTTTAGTAACGCTTCCGCAGATGCAATAACCCACAAGTTAGATAGCCTTGTATATCCTTGGAGTCTTTTTATTTTCTTCTTGTTGGGTAAGTCTTGCTGAGTACAATCGAGTACTCAGAGTTTTATTCCCCTGTTGCAGGTGATCGGATGATACTTAGAGATGACTCTTGTGTGTGGAAACCTCCTGATGGGCTCAGAGAGGATTCTTTCCACGCTACAACCATAGTATTTATTTATAACCCTCACGAAAAGTTTTTATAAGAAAAAATATAAAATCTACTAGCATCTCTTAAATAAAAATGTCCAGTATGTTAATGCTCTACTATGTCCATAAATTAATCCTACTTCCTCTGTAACTCTGATAAAATTGTTATATTTCGCTGTTATAATAAATTGAGGTAATATTCTAGTAATATAATAAAGTGATGTAAGAAATGACTTAAGAATGTTGTAAGCTTTATTCTCTCATTTATGATCCTGATAGAAAAATATGGATTTTTGAGTTCTCCCTTGAGGTGTGTTAGACGGAACTGCGTAGTTTAGTGTCCTTTCTTGAGTACTTAGTGTCTAATGAAAGATAAGTACTCTTATGAGACATTGGATTAGGTGGTTCTGCCATAGTTATATCATTATATGAATGGCAAGGTTGTATTGCACAGTCCCAATGGACAATATATACTATATGTTATGTGCAAAAGTTCTTGCGGTAACTTAGTTAGAAAGCTTGATCCAAATCCAACAAATCCCTCCGGTCCTTAGCAGCCTGAATAGAACTCCGATCTCAAGTAATCTAAATAGGATTCCTACATTGCCCGTATGTAATATATCATATCTAGAAGATATGATTTATTAGGACACTTATAAATATTGTAATCATACCATATAACCGACTAGCATATTTTTCTTATAACTCTACCCCTCTAGAGTATATAAGGAGGGGCATGGGTCCCTTAGTCGGTAGATCCCCCATCCCACATCTCATCTCGTATTCCAGCAATACAAACCAATAGAGCACATGACTCAGGGTTTTACGTCATATTGACGGCCGGAATCTATATAAATACTGTGTCTTGTGTCTCTGTTACCATCTAGTTCCTGATCACATACACCTCTACCAAATAATCTACCATCATGGACATACCTCTCAGTGGACTGTCAAGCATCTTTTGTCGACACCGATTCCCACTAGCTTTAACCCAGGCCTCAGCCGTAGGTTCCAATATGGCGTCCGAGCCCAAAGTTTGGGTCCGCTGGGCCTAGGACGCTGCACATGGTGGGAGGATAAGGCGACGGTAGTTTTACACAAACCAACTATATACATCATGGAAAATACATAGCCGTCAACACATAGACTTTGTGTTAGGTAATTTTACATAGAAGTCATCTACTTTTGTGTTTATAACTATAAATCTAATAAATAAACTGTATGTTTACATTTTTTACACAAATAAAGATTTTTTTTATTTTAACATGATCCTGAGATGTAATTCTTTTTCGCCAGTTGCAATGCACATGCATATTTAATATTTATATATTCTTATACAATGTTAAAAGGAGAACTTTTCTCCATATTTTCGTTCTTTACTCTCCCTCCCTCCCGGTTCATCTGTCTCTCCACTTCTCGGAACATAAGCGTTTTTATGGTTTCACTAAGAGTGATATTTTAAAATTATTGATACGAGTTGTGATTGGTTTCTATCCCGTCCATGACCTAAACTCACGATACTCATACAAGTTAGAATAGCAGGCCTGTAGCCTGGTACAGAGTCTGTTTTCAAGACATATTAGAATAGATAACGATGTATCTTCCGTTGTAACGCACATGCATATTTGCTAGTTATAAAAAAGAGCGAGGGCTATATAAAAAAGACGCGAAGATCATTTTGTTATATTATTATTATTTATAATAAAAAAGAGTGAGGGATAATGTTATTGATTGTATGTTAAAAAGAGCAAAAGATAAATTGAAAACAAAAAGCAAATTCGGATTAGGACGGGTTCAGACGCGCCACCATTGCGCCACGGATCCGGTTGTGCCATGTACAGTAGAGAATGTTTAAAGTACAATATTTCACTAGTCGCACCCACGCGCCTGCAGGTTGCTGGAGGATTTGTTTGTTTACCAGTTGGCACGTACAGACAGAGGGTCCCACATCACAGCGATGGGTCACGGAATCCCAGCCAAAAGATCACACTAACCAACGGGCAACGGCACAAAACATCAGACGAAGCAAAAGGCAGACTTCTTTATCACAGCCGGCGAAAAGAGATGAACTAGAGTCTAGAGGCCACAAACCTTTCCACGCATTCCCTCCCCGCCACGCGGGCCCCTTCGCCTCATCCCCAACCCAATCACGGAACACCAGGTCAGATGGCCTCATCCTCCGTGCCTCCCACGTGGCGCCCCCACCACCCACCACCCACCACCTCTCTCGTCTCTCCCCCTTCCCGCTTGCCGGGGCGTCTCGCTCTCGCCTCGCCTCCTAGCACCACCACTCCTCCCTCCATTCCTCCAAGCCACCACCCCACACCTCGGTGCGTTCCGCCAAAACCCCGATACCCAAACCCTAGCTAGCCGCCTAGCTCCCCTCCCGCGCGCCATGTCCGTCGCGTCCGCGGCGGTAGCCTCCCTGGTCGCCTCATCCTCGCTCTCCGTCCCAGACCACCTCCACCTCCGCCTCCGCCGGCCCCCGCCTCCTCCACTCCCGTGCTTCCGCCGGCGATCACGCGGGGCCTGCCTCGTACGCGCCGTCCTCGAGGACCGCGCGCCCCCGCCGGCCGAGGAGGACGCCAAGCGCTACGGGCTCAACGGGAACGGGAGCGGGCTCGGGTACGACGATGCCGCCGTCCAAGCGTACCTCGGAAGCAACAACAACGGCAACGGAGACCGGAGCGCCAGCGGTGACGGCGCGGCGGTGACGCAGAAGCCCGCGGCGCCCGCGAGCAGCGTGGCCGTGGTCCCGGTCCCGGTCCCGCCGGCGGAGGATGAGAGGAGGAGGAAGGAGAGGGTGGAGGAGATCGGGAGGGAGGATGCCTGGTTCAAGCAGAGCACCGGAGAGGTGAATATTTTTTTTCTGTTTGCTTAACGGCTTATCATCTGCATAGCTGCGTGTGTTCTCCAGCGTCAGTTCTAAAGTGGGTCATCATGTGGGATAGGATAAGGGGGGCAGCTTTGACAAAAGTTAGTGGGGCAGCTTGACTAGGGTGACATCGATGTATGTTTGGAACAAGTGCATTCGTGATACTCTAATTGGAATGAAGTTCAGATTTAGGTAAGAGTATATTATCAGCAATTCAGCATCCACAAGCACTCTGGAACGAAAGTTGTGAGGGGACGGTGTTGAAAATGCAACAGGCTGGCTAGCTGGCTGGTTAGTTACTTAGATTACTGTGTCAGGTTTAGTAGATGATACATGGACCCAGCTTACCCTTGGCCTATGATATATATTGCTGTCCAATTATCTGATGAAAATAGCTGCAGTTTTGTGTCATTCACTGTGTTCCTTTTTCCTTTCCCTTTTGAGTTGAATAACTAAACCTTGCAGGTTTCTGTTGCTCCTGGCGGTCGCTGGAATCGGTTTAAAACCTATTCAACAATTCAAAGAACATTGGAAATATGGGGGTTCGTTTTTACATTTATATTCAAGGCTTGGCTCAACAACCAAAAGTTCACCTACAGAGGTTAGTGACTTCAACTGAACACTAAAAAAAATACTAACCTATAGAAGTTTGTTTTTGTATCTGCGGAAAATAACAATAAGTTCTTCCCATTTAGTGATGTATTAAAATCCTTCATCTTGTACAACAGCATGTGTGGCATGCTAGCCAACACACTGGATTCATATCTTTTACAAAATGGTGTTCATAATGTTTTCAATTTTTAGATGTTTTTTATATTGAAGAATTACCTACATGTTTCTTCAAAATTGTGTACCTTCAATAAAGCTCTAATTCAACTTCTGCAGGGGGGATGACTGAGGAGAAAAAGATAATGAGGAGGAAAGTTCTTGCCAAGTGGCTAAAGGAGAGTCTTTTGAGATTAGGCCCCACATTCATCAAAATAGGGCAACAATTCTCCACCAGAGTGGATATTCTCCCACAGGAATATGTGGATCAACTATCAGAGTTACAGGTTTGTGTGTTGAAACTTATTCTAATTGCAGACATGCTTTGGTGCTTTTCCAAAATTGAGTAAACTGCTTTTCTCTTATATAAAGATACGCACCTCTCCTGTGTGTTCGAGAAAAAATAGAGTAAACTGCAAAGACTCTAAAATTGATGGGTTGGCTCATTAGAGGATTTGCTCTCCTGTTATTAAACAATTTGACCACCCTCTATTATGCATAAGCTGAAATATGCATTAAATTTAGTTCAGTTTACTAGATCAGCCTAGTGGATGGCAAAATCTGCAAGTCTCAGATTGTGCCCTGTACATTGGTGTAGCACATTAGCATTTATCAGCAGCTCAGTGCCCCATGTGAAGAAAGTAACTGTCTTGTGTAGTTATTAGAAGTTATCTTGTTTTTTTCTCTCTATATTTTTGTTAATGCACATTCCTATGCTTATACCCCTGTTATGATTGAACCATGGAATTATTACCTATTTTTGCAGGATCAAGTTCCTCCATTTCCTTCCGAGACAGCTGTAAAAATTGTCGAAGAAGAGCTGGGGGCATCTGTAAATGAGATATTTGATCGATTTGATTTTGAACCAATAGCTGCTGCTAGCCTTGGTAATTTTTTTTTTTTTTTAATAAGCAACTTGGCACTATAATAATCTATCCCTTCTTGCCAGGCCAGGTTCATCGGGCACGTCTGAATGGCCAAGAGGTTGTGATCAAAGTGCAACGGCCTGGTCTGAAGGAGCTGTTCGATATTGATCTGAAGAATTTAAGGGTAAGTTATTTATGTTACTAATCCTGTAGCATACCCTGTTTTCATTTTTTAGATAATGAAATAAAACATCCTGGCCTCTGCATCTAAAGATGCACACATAAGTGTACTAGTACCAAAAAAAAGTATGTCTGTTATGTGTTGCCTATTTACCTACTTAAATGTGTTGCCTATTTACCTACTTAAAAAGTATGTTCGTTATGGCAAGTGGAGCGGGCCCAGGGCCCACGCGGTACTGTAGCTCGCGGTACTGTAGCGCGTGGACAGATTAGATTAGATTGGTTTGGTTTGTTAGGAAAGAGATATGTTAGATTGATTCGATTATGATATTTTCTTAGGGGTCAAGTCAGTCATCTCTGTAAAAAGAGAACCCTGTATCAGTTATAGTCAAGCAGAAACAATCTAATTGTTTCCGGCTTCCCCTGGGAGCCGGAGTTCTTAACCCTAGCCGCCTCCTGCTGTTGTCTCGCGTGAACAGTACCCGTGGGTACTGTAGCTCCGTCGCCGCCTCTCCCTCTCAATCCTAGCAGCCACATAACATCTGGTATCAGAGATGCCAGGACTCGAGCCTACTTCCGTTTCCGCCGCCGCGTCAACCACCATCGCCGCCATGCCCATCTCCACGCCGCCTGGCGCACCTGCGCGATCTGCGCCGGACATGTTCCCCGCCACGACAATCCCGGTGGCTGCGATCCACAATCTCATGATCGCTGCCTACGACCTCCAGCGCCAGCTGGTCGATCTGGCTACTCGGCTCGGCCAGGTGGAGAACCGAACGCCGGACCTCAGTCCCCATCGCCCAGACGAGTTGGCACGCTGGCCATGTCACGCCACCGTCGATGAGGTCCAGGAGGTCGTTCCGGCTCGGCTGGCGTCTGAGGTGTTCCATTTTTTACCATTTGCTGACAAATAACTGAATTGGATAGGTAATAGCTGAATACCTTCAGAAAGTGGATCCAAAGTCAGATGGCGCCAAGAGAGACTGGGTTGCTATTTACGATGAGTGTGCATCTGTTTTATATCAGGTAATTAGTTGTATGATCATGATCTACTGTCTTAGACTTGTTTGACTACGTCTATTACTGATCATGTAATCAGTTCATGTTTTTTATCAGGAAATAGACTATACGAAGGAAGCATTTAACGCTGAAAAATTTGCTGAGAACTTCAAAAATTTGAATATGTGAAGGTTCCTGAAATTTACTGGGAGTACACTACACCTCAGGTTTCTTCTACACAGAAAATACAAAATAGATCCAACAAGGAACTTGGTGGAATAAAGATTTTAAGTTTCTTTTATTTTCATTGCAGGTTTTAACAATGGAATATGTCCCAGGAATTAAAATTAACAGAATAAAGCAGTTAGATAAGTTAGGAGTCGATAGAAAAAGGTAAGTACTGTATAACCGTCAACCATGAACTAAATTTTCTGTGCCAACTGACTTTGTTGCTTCCGGTCAATGTGAATCACTTTCAGATTAGGCCGTTATGCTGTTGAGTCCTACCTTGAGCAGATCTTGTCCCATGGATTTTTCCATGCTGACCCGGTTAGTCACCCTGTATATTCACCACAAACACTGTTTTAGTCATTATGGTTATTTCTCACCTTCGCATCATCCTTCACTTCATTTCTATCCATGCATTGGTCTGTTTTCAAGTGAAGTAGAAATATAATATTTCGTTAAGAAAACCTGTATCATTGAATTTATGAGGTCCCTTTGCCATCCTCCTAACCTTGGCAGATTTATGGCTCACTCTATGTGCAATATGCTTCAGCCATAGACAAAATCCAATGTGCTATTACTTCCTCCTATCACAAACATATGTTCATCTAGGCTTGTCCTAAGTCAAACTTTTTTAGCTTTGACCATCAATATATAAAGTTTTATATGGACTGAAAACATAAGATTAACGTTACTAGATCTTTTATGGAGAATACTTCCACAATATACAATTCTTTCAATGAAGATGATATATTTCATAGAAATTGCTAGTCAAAGTATCAGAGTGGAGACCGTGTCAATGCCATAATGGACATGTATTTGTGAGCTGAGGAAGTATGTCTTGTAATACAAATTTCATGAGACTGAATCATGAATCATCCCTATTGTCTTCTTGCTCCTTTTTAGTATCTCTAATAAAGCAGTTGCTATACTCTGTGTTAAAAGCTAATGGTGATTCCTTTACAGCATCCAGGAAACATTGCTGTTGATGATGTCAATGGAGGGAGACTTATCTTCTATGACTTTGGGATGATGGGAAGGTAACATTTATGCCCCCCCCCCCTCACATAAGTTTCATTTCATGAGAAATTTTGCATCTCAGTATGGATAATAATCTTCATCCTTCCAACTTCCAGTATCAGTCAAAATATTCGGGGAGGATTGCTTGAAGTATTCTATGGAGTTTATGAAAAGGATCCTGACAAAGTTAGTTCTCTGGGCATAATGGCCAGCAGATGATAATTTATACCCTGTGATGTTCTGGGAAGTGTTGAATCCTGTATTCCTGCAGGTGCTTAAAGCAATGGTTCAAATGGGTGTCCTTGTTCCTACTGGAGATATGACTGCTGTCAGAAGAACAGCTCAATTTTTCCTTAATAGGTAGTTACTTTTCCTTGAGAAGTTATTTTTTTCCTCAAACGTGCTTGAGAGTTGTGTGTATTTCATTAAAGAAAAAAGAGTAACCAAATACAACACCACCCTTGAGAAGATGTTACTTTGTAGTTATAGCAAATGGAGTTTGTTGAACTGGAAGAGCATGATGTTATTTTTTGAACAAGATGAGCATGATGTTTGACTTTGTTCTTTTTTGTGTCTATTATTTATAGCTTTGAAGAGCGTCTAGCAGCACAAAGGAAGGAGAGAGAGATGGCAACTGCAGAACTGGGATTTAAAAAGCAATTAACTAAGGAGGAGAAGTTTGAAAAGAGGAAGCAGAGACTTGCTGCAATTGGTAATGTTGTGACCTACCAACAGACTTGATAGATGGAAATATGTCAGGGTTTATTCTACAAAATTTATTATGTTGACTTGAATTCAATTTTGCAGGAGAGGATCTTTTGGCGATCGCTGCTGATCAACCATTTCGCTTCCCTGCCACATTTACATTTGTGGTCAGAGCATTCTCAGGTTTCAATGTCTAATAATTTACATGTTTACAAGGAAATTGTTATTATACTGTCATTCTACTCAGGCTTTCTCCATTTTATGCAGTTCTAGATGGTATTGGGAAAGGCCTTGATCCTAGGTTTGATATTACAGAGATTGCTAAGCCGTGAGTACTTGCTGCATTACTAGCATCTCGATACTTTTTCAAAAACATGCAAAGCTTGCACATCTTTATATTTTCAGCTTGACCTTTTCTGGTGCTGACTTGACATGTCTGTTAAATTTGCTAGATATGCCAAGGAATTGCTAAGATTTAATGAAGCTGGTGTTGAAGTAGTTGTGAAGGCAAGTTTCAACATTTGGTCAAAGCTTTTAACCTATCTCTATGATAGCATATCTCCTAAGTATTTTGATACTGAGAGTTTTAAGTGCTTTTGATTGCAACATTATTTCAGGATGCAAAGAAGAGATGGGAAAGGCAGTCCCGTGCCTTTTATAATTTGTTCCGCCAACCCGACAGAGTTGAAAAGCTCGCACAAATTATTGAACGTTTGGTATGTGCATCATTTGCCAACATTATTTTGTTGTGTATTGGTGTTATTTGCACATGTGCTCTTGACGAAAGTTTGTACGACTGAACTCAATGAACTGCTTTTTTGCAGGAGCAAGGTGAACTCAAGCTTCGTGTCAGAACACTGGAATCGGAAAGAGCATTTCAAAGAGTTGCCGCTGTACAGAAAACAATTGGATATGTGAGTTCAGAATTATTAATATATTGTTTAACTTTTTTCTATGTTACTTCATGCTGAACCATGAAAAGACAAGGGCAAACTTGTCTGCTGGATGACACTGTCACTGAGTGCATGCAAATTCAGTTAGCCTGCACTGGAATTGTTAAAACAAAATTGACAGAGGGCGCCTGCAAATTCGATGCGAGAAATCTGATCAAGTCATCAAGAGAAACAGCCCTTATATCATGAAATTGTTTTTCTTTCTTTGATACTGCACTTTTTTTCCTGAAGTTCCATATCATAATAATGTGTCTTAAATCTTGCTCTGTGTCATCCAGGGAGTTGCTGCAGGTAGTTTGGTGAACCTTGCAACAATGTTGTACTTCAATTCAATCCGGGTGAGTTTGTAAACAAACTGGAGTATACCATCCATCAAACTTCTAGCACATATTTGTTCTCATTACCTGATCTTCGAATCTTCAATAACCGTTGCAGGGACCAGCAACCATTGCATACTCCCTCTGCGCATTCTTCGGGCTTCAAGTTCTGATCGGGCTTGTCAAGGTTAAGAAGTTGGATCGGCAGGAGAGATTGATAACTGGTACTGCCTGAGCTATGAGTTCTTGATCAATCGGTGAGAACTGAACCGTCACTTTTCAGCGCTGTGTGTTGTTGTCACGCTGCCTTTTTTCCCTTCTTTTTGCACAATTTTACCCCCAGCGCAATTTAGCATAGGCACGGCCCCCCGGTGTATGATAGTTGTATGTAGATGCGATAATAACAGATAAAGATGTACATAGTGTATAATAGACATTCTACATGTATTTTTTGCTTCCATGGTGTAGCAGATACGTACAGCATTTTCTTTCAAATGATGATTCAGGGTTAAATGATTGATTTGGTGGTTTTATTTTTGTCGTCTCTAGTAGATGCGGTGCCGTAAGTTAACGATGGATGTGGCACGATAGATGACGCGCCGTAATGTTACACCACATCCTCAGCGTAAATCGTCACGCCTTCCGATCTTCAGCGCCGGGACTAGTCGCGTGGGCGGATACGGGAATAATGAAAACTTTATGCTAAAGATCATGACATGGCTTAGTTTGCCTATTCGTGTATTTGACATGTTATTAGGAGCCTTGCTGAAGTGCCTCACGGACATATAATCCATACCCTTAGGATGGCTTTCTAAATTATTTAACTAATAATATTTGTCGTAAAGACACAATGTTCAAACTTCAAAGGCTGCTATAATGATAACTTTTAAAGTTATCCCGTATATTTTATAAACACGGATCTCTATTTTCGCTAAAAATAGAATCCCATAGACAGGAAACACCTCATTTCGCTTTCCATCCTGGACTGCTGTAAATGGTGCGAGTCTGACACGTAAGCCAAACACCTAGTACATATTAGCCTCACATTTAGTTGTGTATCGTCGATTCAACGATTATCCATTGTACTATGGTAGTTTTATTACACAAAGAAAACCTAAACATATTTTTTTCGAGATGCAAAAAGGCATACTATGCTATGGCAGAACATAACACAGTTCTGGATATCACTTAGTACAATTGGACAATAGCTGCTACATTCTCCGGACCACTACAACAATGCTTTAGAAATTCACGTTCGGATGACTAACCCCACCCCCCCCCCCCCCCAAACTTTCCAGTAGCAGTGTGTTGTTGTCGTCACCTTTTTTCCCCTTCTTTTTTGTACAATTTTAACCCCAAATAAATTTAGCATAGGCACGGCCCCCGGTGTATGATAGCTGTATGTAGATGCGATAATAATAGATAAAGATGTACATAGTGTATAATAGACATTCTACATGTATTTTTTTTTGCTTCCATGGTGTAGCAGATCGTCTACAGATTTTTTTCTTCAAATGATGATTCAGGGTTAAATGATTGATTTGGTGGTTTTATTTTTGTCTCGAGTAGATGCGGTGCCGTAAGTTAACGATGGATGTGGCACGATAGATGACGCGCCGTAATGTAACACCACATCCTCAGTGTAAATCGTCACGCCTTCCGATCTTCAGCGCCGGGACTAGTCGCGTGGGCGGATACGGGAATAATGAAAACTTTATGCTAAAGATCATGACATGGCTTAGTTTGCCTATTCGTGTATTTGACATGTTATTAGGAGCCTTGCTGAAGTGCCTCACGGACATATAATCCATACCCTTAGGATGGCTTTCTAAATTATTTAACTAATAATATTTGTCGTAAAGACACAATGTTCAAACTTCAAAGGCTGCTATAATGATAACTTTTAAAGTTATCCCGTATATTTTATAAACACGGATCTCTATTTTCGCTAAAAATAGAATCCCGTAGACAGGAAACACCTCATTTCGCTTTCCATCCTGGACTGCTGTAAATGGTGCGAGTCTGACACGTAAGTGTGGTAGAACCTCCTAAATTATAGGGCCCACATGCACCTATCACTGTCCAACGACCTTTGACATCTATGCATACGTTCCTGGTAACTTAAGAAGACTATCGGGTGTCCTCGGGGAACCCTGAATCATCCATGATTTCTTTGTAGGATCACATTATAGAATCATTGCAGTATTACAACAGTTTATTCAAATAGATACATCAGAGTAAAAACAACAGAAGTCTTACAATAACATAGTTTACAAACCATTTGTTTCAAATCATACAACTAAGTTCGATATTAATGCAAACCAAAGTAATGGAGTGGCATTATAATATATTACAAAACACACAACTTGTAAGTTTTTTCGCCTAAGGGCCACACATTTAATTATCGCCATCGCCTTTGAACAACATGTCATGCAAAGACGATCCAAAACAGATCTGCTTATGAGCCTCACCTGCAACAAGGGTCAACGAACCCTGAGTACAAAAGTACTCAACAAGACTTAACTGAAATAAGAATTTAAAAGAACGCAGGAATGCAGGCTCATGGGATTCAAGGTATGGCTTTAGCAATAATCAAGGTTCTTTTGCGTAAAAGCATTTTAACAAAATTCTTTATATCAACGTTTAAAACTTCATAAAGATCATATACAAAGTCGGCACGATCCGTATTGAGATCATGAAACTTCATATCCAACACTTTCTCATACCATCCTCGTGTTCCAGCTTATTAATTACTACGATGATGAGCAAAGAGTTGAGTCTCCATAACCGAGGAGCAACGACGATTCGAACCGATTATAACCTAGCTGGGAATTCCAGACCACACGACATATGCAGGTCCCCGACCTACATATACCAACCTACCCTCGGATCCTCTAAAACAAGAACGGGTCCGTGCCACCCGAGAATACAGTACTCCACCAATCCAGCCCATTGCCACGTGGGTACACGCTATTCCCGCCATTTCTCCACTCCCAGTGCGCGAGTAGCCATTCTCATAATAGAATAGCCAAATTAAGGCTTACCGAAGTATGTGGTTAGTACTACAAAGTCTCACCTCATGTAATTCAACAACGGACGGACCTTAATCGACACAGGCGGAAAGAACCTGCTCACAAGACCTCCATGTCTTGTGGCTCACACACACCGAGTCCGCCCGGTCTAGATTTATTACTCCACATTCCCATATCACATGTTAACATAATTAACCAAAGCTCCATTTAAACCTGCAGATGACAGGTAATCACCCGACTTTCACCGTTCTAAGCATAGCTAAGCAAAACTGGCATATACGAATTTAAAACTGGTGATATGGTAAATATGGAATAACAAGGTTGGTAAGGTACCAATTTGGTTTTCACTTGACTCCTAATCACTTAATGCAGTAAAAAGAAGCAAAAGCAAAATCAATTTGTAAAATACAAGGTAGGGTTGTATGCATCCGGGGCTTGCCTTCGTTGACGGAAAAGTCTGAGTCCAGAGTCGTTCCACCAATATCAACACCAACTTCCACAGACGGATCAACCTCCTCAACTACTTGATTAACTACCATGTGTTCACCTTCGTTCACTACACGTAGTAACAATGCCATGTTTAACATGATGCGGATATAAAATATGATGCTCGATGATGGATGCAAAACTTAACAACTTGAATACAACTTTCCTTCGCGGTACAGTTACAAGTCAAACTAACTAAACCATTTTCGCAACACTCACAACAATTGCAGGATCATTACCAACTATTGACCCAAGGACATCACTTAATAAAAAACTCAAACAAAACCTAAATCACTAAAGGTTACTATTTGCTTTTATGAATTAATTAATTAATTAATAATTATGAAATAAATCTACTTATTCCAATTGACCTCAAAATTTTTGTATATGTTCATCACATGATAACTAAGTGAAAAAACAATTTTCATAATTTTTGGATACATAAATAAGTCTAGAAAAATCCTGGAAACTCATTTATTAATTAATTGAGCAATTTTTATTACATTCAAAAATTACTGAAAAACAACATTTCATATTTTTTCTAAATAGTACACATCATAAAGAAGTCACACAAAAAATTTCATAATTTTTGGAGCTCTAAATAAATCTACAAAAAAATAACAAAAATAGACACTATTCATTTAAATCAAAAAAGAAAATTCATTTTGAACGCCGAGTCACCGACAACCGGGTCCCACTTGTCATCTTCTACCTCGCGCTTTGACCACGGCGACACGCCACGATCACCGTGAAAAACTTCGCCGACGGCGAAGCTCAACGGCGACGACCAAGGTACTAAAATGACCCCTACACCTACTACGCGTCGATTGGTGGCACAATCAGGACCAATTACTACGGCGCGCCATGAGCATGACGATGGCCATGGCGGACACGGCGGCAGCGGCTGCTGCTGCCGCCCGATAGGAGCTCGGTAACGATGAAACAAACAACTCGGGTAGAACCAGGAGCTCACCCGAACACACCGGAGTCATTGGCCGAGCACGAGAAGCAACGGAGACACGGTTCGACGGTCCACGGTCACGCAAGAAGCAAATTTCAACGACGATGATGCTTCGACGACGACGATGCTTCGGCGACTGCGGTGGAGGAAATGGTCAATCAACCGGGCACAAAGCACCACGGCATCGAGGCGAAGCTGAAGCAAGAGTCAGAAATAGCAGAGGATCACCGTAAACGCTACCGGGTTACGGCGACACGCGACACCACGGTGGTGCTGCCAGCCGCGAGGAAGAAGGGCGGCAAGCGACGTTCCACGACAAAATCTAGCGTCAAGGATGGTTCGGCTGAGTGCGCAAGGAAGAGGCGAAGCTGTTGAGCGCTTTGCTTTCTGACGGCATTAGCGGTGACTGGTTCGACGGCGAGGGCTCAACGAAGAATGGCGGTGGCGGCGGGAGAAAACAGAGGAGAGGAAAGAACAATGACGACGGCGCCTCGGTCCAAATAACACGGCTCAGAAGCTCAAGGAAGCCACGCTGCGGCCTTTACCGCGCCAACGTGACGCCAAAGATGGCCACGCGCGCGACTGGAATGCCGAAGAAGGTCGCCGACGGTGTAGCTCAAGCGGTGAACACTGTTCATCGAAATTACAGAATTGGCATCCGCCAAATTTCACAAATTACTCCCAAATTTTCATAACAACTCAAAAATCTCCAAAAACAAAAGTTGTTCCAAATCAAAAGTTCTACAACTTTGCTTT